AGTATTTGTATGGCCTACAAGTAATTGTTCCGGGTCTGGATGTTTGTGCTTGTGAAATTTATGTTTGTTAACTGCCTCCACGATACAGGAGAAAATCCTAGTTTGGAGGTAACGTTGTTTAACATAATATTTAAAAAAATATAAATTTTCCTTGGCGTAACAAATTACTAAAAATTTTGCCACCATATTTTTTCTTTTGTTTTTTCTTATTTGAAAATATAATAAAAGAGGTTTCAATCTTTATAGATTAGATAGTTATCTATAACTTTTTATGGAAACTAAAAAAGATTTTAAACTATAAAGTCATAAATAATATAGGTTTTTGGCAAAGCTGTTGCTGCCAACTAAAGAAAAAGGCGCTTTAAGCGCTAGGTAATAGGGATATTGCACTCCCGAGCTCGGACGCTGCCGTTGATGTTATGGGATTATTTAATTATTTATTTACGATTTAAAAAAATAACTTATGGATAAACTGATATCGGGTGCTGATTGCGCATGTAAAAATCTACAAATTTACATTGTTTAGTTATTCTTTTACCATCATTTTTAAGCACAAAATAAAAATTTATTATTTCACAGCACCCGCCTTATTTTTTTAAATATCTAAACAAATATTTGACGCGCAAACAAATAATTAGTACCGATAAACATAATTTTTTACGCGCAATCGATTTATACTGGTCTCATTTTTAATAATTATTTCCGGGTGCCAACTTCATGGACCTGCTATCTTACGTAGACAGAGTAGCATTCTCTGTCTACGCTATCATAAATGCTCTTTTTTTTTTTCAGACAAGAGGATCAGACTGTATAGCGTTGATCGAAAATCAGCAATTGCGGATAAAGTTAATCGTTTTAGTTCGTAGTAATATATATTAAATAGGAAATAACCAAGCTTATAGGCATCTATGAGAACTTATTAGTATTATCTGGTTTAGTCTTATAATGTGTGTGTGGCAATGTAAACAAAAATCAATTATAAAAATATATTGATTCCCTCAATACTTTAAATGTACACAAAATTATCTTGTTTACAGAGTCTTACATACAGGGTTGGCCACAGGAGAATAAAATAAGATATGATTTAAATTTTTTAATGAATAATTTGTCATGTAACAATAATTTAAATTTGACATTTAATTGTAATAATTATACTAATAGAATTAATTTAATAGACATTAATAATTTAATTAAGAAATTTTTGACTACAGATTGGTATTACCTGTCCAAATATAATATAAGACAGATAGCAAATGTGCTATCTTATTATTTATATATTAACTCAGCCAAGGACTTGGCTACCAAGACATCTGCTCCTATTAAGCAGCGTAATGATTTGACATGCAATTTGGAATCCATTCCAAAAAATTTTAATTAGAAAATGAGACAATAGAGGTAGAGATTACCTCAGGCAGTTATAATAATTTAAATAATTTAGAATGTAGCTTACAAATCCTTAATAGTTGCAATTGTACAACTCCACAAAATGATAATAAAAATTGTTTACACCTGGTGCATCAGAATATACAAGGCATGATAGGCAAAGAGCTAGAAATTGAATTATTCCTAAATAGTCAATTTTCATATTTTATGTATTACTGAACATTGATTAAAAGCTTATAATTTAATGTTTAACTTCAGTAATCACCAGGTGGTCAGTTCTTTCAATAGAGAAACGGTTTAAGAGGTGGCTCCTTAATTTTAGTTAGTAAATTATTATCATGTAAAGAACGTAAAGATATTGTGAGCCTCTCTGTTGAGCGAACTGTAGAAATGGCATGTGTTGAGTTTGAGCACCTCATTGTTGTGAGCGTTTACAGGCCCCATGTTCTTTATATGATACTTTGAAAAAATTTTGGAGAAAGTTTTTGCTAAGCTTAATAAACAGAATAATTCTGTTGTAATATGTGGAGACTTTAATATCAATCTCCTAGAAGCTTCCTCCACCAATATTAAATTTAGATCATTGTTTAAAACTTATGGTCTTTTTAATTTATTTTTGGAGCCAACGCGTATTGCTGAATCTAGTGCAACATATATAGATAACATTTTTACAAATGTTAAGCCGCTCAATAATTGTATTATTCAAAATTGAGCTCTGATCACTGTGGACAATTAGTTTCGTTACCTTATGTTCACAAAAAGCAAGTAAATAAAAAAATTGTCATTGTTCCAGTAAATGCACGTTGCTTGGAGAAGTTTAGAAGTAACATAGTAAAAAACTTCCATCACTATCATACCAAAATAATCCAGATTTTTTGTATGGAACATTATTTAAGCTTATTTGCAATTTATTTAATAATACTTTTACTTCTAAAACATTCTCCTTGAACAATCGCAAGGCATTTAATGAGTGGACGACAGCAGGAGTCCATAAGACTAGACAAAGGTTATATGAACTTCACAGTGAAAGGTCATATAATCCTAGCGTCTAATTTAGGGAAAATGTAAAAAAATATTCCAAAATATTTAGAAGAGTGTACCCCATAGCCAAGTCATTGTATTTGAGCAACAAAATAAAGACGGCTTCTAATAAAATTAAAATGACATGTTAACAATATAACATAAGGTTAACCCTTGCAATTCGAACTACCAGTTAAGTTTTAACAATAAATTAACTGAATCAGATCAGGACGTTGCAATGGTTTTCGAGAAATATTTTACTGATATTCCTTTCTTAACCACTAAGTCACTGAATGCTTCTCCTGCTGTCGCCGAATCGTTACTTAAACAAAATGTAAATGCGTGTACAAAGAATTTTACATTTCATAAAATGTCATCAAAAGATATTCTAAAATATTTTAAGACTATTGATATTAAGAAAACCGCCGATTTGTGGGGGATTTTCGTTAAAGTTATTGCGTCTATAATAGATACAATCGCACCTCAACTATCTATTATTTTTAATACTAGTGTCAAATCTGGTGTAAAAAAACTATTTCATATTTAATTGACAGAACGCAAAAAATTGTTATTAATAGTATGAGTTCTTCCGGGTCGACTGTACAAATGGGCATGCCTCAGGGCTCAATTCTCGGCCCCTTTCTGTTTCTTGTATATATTAATGACTTATCTTATATAGTAAGGGATAACCATGATATAGTATTATTTGCTTTTACAACAAAATCCCAGAAAATATACAAAATTTGTCATACGCAAAGTTTAAAAATTTTATTAAACTAAGTTTGTATAAAAAGGGTTATTATAATATTAAGGAATTTATGGATGATAATAACCCCTGGGAAGGGTGATCGCTACCAAGCTATTTCTAATTTGTCTTGTGTTGTTAATTGTAAACATGATTGTAAGCTATTATTTGAAAAAAAAAATAGTCCCGCTAGGTTTCTTGCTGGTTCTTCCCAGGATAGAGGTTTTTTTTTTGCGAACAAGTGGTAAATGAAAAAGTTGACTTTCAATAAGTATTGTTTATGATCTAAATTGATTAAAAAGTATCTGTTTCTGTTTCTTTTATTCTATTAAAATTTTTCAAGTAATTCATAGAAGAAAACGATCAGATTGAATGAGCTTGATCTAAATACATTTTTTCCATGTGCTGTGTACAAATAGTAATTATTTGATAAACTACTTTTCATGTCAGATTGCGATGTACAAGATTGGGGGTTCAGTAATTAGTTGTTAGTTTCTATAATAGTTCCATAATTTAGCGGACGTTAACGATGACGCGAAGTTGACTCGCGCACCGAACGTGAACCGCGTTATTTAAACGAACGCTCAAAAACGTCTTACAGTCTTAATTTTGAATGAATAAAAAATGGAATCATTATTGTATAATATCTTGTGATCATAGATAATAGTGTTCTGTGGATGTCGATGGTAGTCTATGATGGTCTGTGTCTGTAGGTTCTAGGTTGTAGACAGAGAAACCTATAGACAAATTGATGCCTTCTTTCGCATTCGCACACGAAAAAGATAGATTTATGCATACGTTTTGCATAGAAATGAGATAGAGCGGTGTGATTGTTTGTCCCTTTCTCCGTGCCGATTTTTTTTGTTTAGCAAACTCTACAGTTTGCTAAACAACTTTAACAGCGTAGCGATTTAAGGAGTTTGCAAGTTGGTTTAAGTGAGAAAAAAGTGTTTTGTGAGCTTAAGATTGGTGAATCTTGTTCAGTTTAGTTCTTAGAACAATTAAAATTTTTATCTAAATGTGTTTAAAAGTCATAAAGATTATGGTATAACCTAAAAATTCGTTATCGTTCTTTCTCACTCAAGGCCACGCCGATCATTAGTCTATAGGTTTCTCTGTCTACGTTCTAGGTTCTGTAGTCAAAAACCAAAACCAAAATCTCAAAACTATGCAATACATTGGGTGCATTTGGCAGAAAAAAGCGCTAGCAAGCGCTTAAAAGCGCTGAAATAGTTTTCTGCCACGACACGATTGCTAGTTGCTACTTCAGTAGCGCTGATACAATCCGCCATTTTGCTTATTTAATTTGTTTGTTTTGAAGTTGAATTTATAAGTTTTTTTTGTGCAATATTAGTTTTAACTAATATAATGACATGAATAGACATATACACGTTATTAAAAATTCATGATTGGTGAGTTTTTAATATGAATACTTTACAAACATATATTTAAATTAGGTTAGATTCCCCGGTTAGAACTAACTTCGTGTCCTAGAGGAAAATAACTTCTTACGATTTGACAGCGCTTACCGCTTACGATCGCCATTTTGCTTACAAGCGCTTGCTAGCGCTTTTTTCTGCCAAACGCACCAATTACCCACAGAGTCAGTAATCTATGCACAGAGTACTTTGTATAATATACTGAAATTACATTATATTACCTCATAGATAAATAAATATGTAGCAAGCTATATTATGTACGATATATTACTTTCCTCTATGCTATATTACCACAGAATACATTTACCCTGACGGGTATATTACCTACAAATAGTTGTTAAAATAAATGGTTATATTTATGTGAAATTAGATTTTTTTTGTAAGAAATTTCTGAATGTGTTGTATGAAACAAAATGGAATCAAACCTTACAAGTAAGTAGAAAGATATGTAGAATGGAATTCGATACTAATATTATAAATAAGCCCAAATTAATTTGGATGGTTGACGGATGTTTAGTACCTTGGTTATTTAAATATTGTAATCTTGGTGTGTATTATCCAAATATTAAATTTCTCTGTATTATTTTTATGTCGTTTAATTATTCATAATCATTTGTATTAAATGTGAGGGGAACCATCAGCTCATTTAATTTGTGTCGTAAGATAGGATTATGGGAAGTGCAAGAAAGATTTCATCTGTTTTATTACAAAGCTGTAAAAGTATATTTTTTATACTAAGTGAAAAGCATCCCGACTCGCAATGGGGAGCAAGAGAAAGAGTAGAATATGTCTGGAACTGGTACAACCAAATTTACTATGCATTGGGATTAAGGCAAATCCTCTCTTTTTATTATAGAATATGGGTGACAAATGAGCACAGTCCACCTGATGGTGAGTGGATGCTGTGGCCCTTAGATATCTATATTTATCCTTGATTAAGACTTAAAATGTGGATGCGTTATAACCCTTGAGGACTAAGATAGAATGACTTGTTTCTTTTAAACTTAGAATTAAAATTTTTGTTGTTTTTTTTTTTTGTAAAATGTCAGCACAATAGGCTTCTACTCTGTTCACATGTTACAACCTATTTTTTTCCAAATGGTAAAAATGGTCATCCAGTATAATGTCCTATTCTTTAATTGTAAGAAGACTGTCCGTTCATACCTTATTATATATTTCAATATAAATTTTATGATGAAACAGAAAATTACCTAAACTGATTGTAAAATAACCTTCCTGACTTACCTACTTTCTCACACAAATGCACATGTGCACACACACACATACACACGCATATATTTCTCAATTTTATCCTATACCTTAATAAACAAGCAATTCTTGTATATATATATATATATAATCGGAATCTCGGAAATGGCTCCAACGATTTTCATAAAATTTAGTGTGCAGGGAGTTTCGGGGGCAATAAATCAATCTAACTAGGATTTATTTTTAGAAAATGTCTTTTTGTCCATGTTTTTAGGCAATGAAAAACTGCTACAATATTGGTAGAATAAGAAGGTAAATTTTGACAGTTTATTAATGATTACAAATAGCTTAATTGGTATATTGGGTGGTCACAAAATCGTAATACCATGGTTCGAGCCCAGACCGACCGACCAACTTTTTTAATTTTTTTTTCAAGTTCCTTTCTTTTTTGAGAAAATCTATTTTTTCATGCCCTTTTTTTAGTATTTTTTAAAAACAAGAAAATTTAAATTAAACTAATTGCACTCATGATTTTTTATGCAAATAACCAGTTCAGTTTTTTCTATTATGTCACTGCGATCAAAAAACATTATTCGTATTTCATCAGTATGTAATTTGTATCTAAATATAATTTCCAAAACACACGAATTATAAAAAACGAGCGAAAAATATTGAGCAAAGCTCGGTCAACCGGGTACTATCAATCATTTGAATAACTAGAAAGTTTTATAATTGTAGCACTGAGAACTGTAAGCAAGTACTTATGATTGAGACTGTTACTCCTTAATACAGGTTATTCTGTAACCTAGTTACGAGAGCAGAGCTGCATCCACTAGATTGAAGATCATATTTTATAGATAGTACAAACGATTTTATGTCCCACCCACATACTACAATCACTTTTATATAAATAAAGTTTTATTCTTCTTATTATTATTATATTGTAGACTGACAGGTTAGCTTGTTTATTATATATATATTATATTATATATTTTATTATATTATTTATACATATTTACATGTACATACAAAATATTAGACATAACAGTTTGCCAAGAAAGTAACTTTTGATTAAATTAGGAAAAATAACACATAAAAAACACTATGAATTGAATTGGGAAGAACCAGGAAATCCAATTCCGTACCTCTTTTAGAATGGGGTTCAAAAAAAGGAACTGGATCCGGTTCTGCAAGCCATAGGCTGAAGTCTGGAGTGAATTAGGAATGAAACTTATCACACCACCTAACGGAAGTAAGTAGATAATATAAAGTCACATTAATAAACCAATAAAACTAAGTTCATCAAAAAGGTTCCCTTAATTATATACACAAAATGTTTTGTGTCAAAGCGGGGCTCTTTTTAAAATAATGTTAGAGTTTTTGTTATGTTCTTTAAAAAAAATCATCATGATGTCACTACAACTCCCAAAAGTATATATTACCTTGTTACTCAAATATACATTGCAATTAAAAAATGGTCTGACTTAAATTCCTCCCTGAGGCCCTACCCCCTCCCCAAACTTTAACTCTTGATCCACGCCCACATGTCCTGAGCAATGTCTTTCTTAAAAAAAAATACTTTTACCCCATATCATCCCGTGGATACCATAAGAGGTGACAGGGGAAAATGTAACATGAGATGATAGTCAGCATCTTCTTGATAATTACTGAAAACTATGTGTAAGGCAATCTGTGGGTGATGCCTATGTTCAGGTTGTAATAATTGAATGAATGAATGGAATGAGAGCTGTGGTAGGTGTTAGCTCAGTGGATAAGTGGTCGCATAGTACGCGAGTAACCCAAGTATGATCCCTATTACCTATACAGTTATAAAGGGAAAAATCTTGAGAATCTAGAATGATCTCTTCCCTGCTTCAAAAAAACCTTCTTAAAAATGTGAAGATGCCTTTGTTTAGCAATGAGACATAATAGCACTTGAGTAAATAAATGTTACCGAGTAAATAAACGTTACCGTACGGTGATAATAGGCTGTCACTTTACTTTTAAATTGAACGAAAATGTTTTTGCATATTTAATAGATGGGCGTTCATTTTAACTATTACACCGCAAAGTTTGTACGGTTAATATATTTTTAAGCAAACCAATATAAATATAAAGCTTACATTGGTATATTATGAGTTATTCGGCTTATGAATAAAATAAAAATTGTTAGCAAATGTGCAGACATATTATGAAAACAAACTACTTTGTGGCATTTCTTGTGGGAGGCTTATGCTCAGCAGTTGACTTGTGAAACTCTGTAATGATTATGATTATGATGGTGATGATCTCATTATATAATTTGAATTACCAAATAACATTGTTTTGAAAGCTCCACCTATATTTTTTGAGAGGTTTGTATATTATATATTTGTTTGTATCCAGACGATCAGGTCTACTGCCCCAGCTCTTATAATAAAGAGCCTTTTCTGTAGACCTTTAGGTATACATGTTAGAGCCATGCTGCAGTTATATTAGTAGTTACTTGTAGCACAAGTGGGTTGGGAAGGACCAAGCTCTCACAGAATACCAGCACAAAATAGTAGCTGCTGTGTTTCGTATATGGTGAGTGTAGAGAACTGGGCACCCTTTTTACTGAAAACGAGTTATTCCATCTTAGTCCTCAAGGGTGACAATGCATCTGCATTTTGATTCGTAATCAAGGATAGATGAAGATGTCTATGGGCCACAGCAACCACTTACCATCAGGTGGACTGTGTGCTCGCTTGTCACCCTATCCTATAAAAAAGGAACATTATAGTGAAAGTCCCTTTTTTCATCCCTTTATTTATTTTAATCTGTTAACAGGTATTTATGTGATTCAGTGTGTTGTGTTCAGACAGACAGACAATGTTGCTCAAAATTGTTGATTTTGCATCTGTATCAATTGCAAAGTTACCCCGATAAAAATTTCCAAAAAGGGTTCAATGTACATAAATCATCCTCTAAAGAGTTTTATAATAGTTTAAATTTTTAATTTTTTTTAAAATACTTACTATGTAACATTACTAATATCTTGTTAAGCACTCTAAAATGTTTGTGTTGGTAGTAGTCCACGGTGGTAGTCTTCGAATCCATGACTTTTTGAATTCACAGTCTTCACTCTTCCATTAGGTTACTGTCGCTTCAAAACATCACTTAAAATATCATAAAACATTGAATTTAAATACTTGAGTTTAAAAGGTTTCATGTGTTGTAATTTTTAAGTGTAACTTCATTATCGACGTAGTGGGGAAATGTACTAAGGTATTAAAAAAAAGTCACGTTTTTTTGTAACATTTTACTGCCGGGGCTGCATAAGTACACTAAAATTGTTAAATATATGTATAGTTTAGTGTCACTGTTATAGGAGAGTGGGTAGAAGTATGTACTAAGATATTGGAATACATTTACAATCATGTATATGTGTTTAGTCTATGCACATGGTGATACCTAAGCGCAGTTATATCTCTTTAACTCTCATACACATTTTTAATTTTAAATTGTGAAATATTATTCAGACTTATAAAATGAAACTTCGATAGTAAAGTGAAGTAATAAAAGGATTTTCCAAATTTAAGTGTATTTATTGTGAAAGTGAGGGTAATTATTTCTTTCTTTTTAAAGACAAACACGTGAGTGCAATTTTGACATTTATTTTATTTTAACCTCATTATTTATTGTATCAGTAACTAAACTATATATATATATATATATATAATTTGTTTATTTTAGAAACCAGTAGGGTACCTTAAAGATAATTTAAAAGATATATATATATATATATATATATATATATATATATATATATATATATATATAATTTGTTTATTTTAGAAACCAGTAGGGTACCTTAAAGTGTTAAGTAAAATAATTTATTTTTTAAATTTTTCTTGTATTTGATTAAAATTACAAATTCTAATCCCTAGCTAAGAAAAAAAAATTATTTTATTTTCGCTCCACCCCAAATATATATAAATTGTCTCATTCAATTCTAAACTTGTATTGCCGACTAAATAAATGAAGTTACAAAGAAATTATCATCATACAATTATTTAAATAGTTGCTTTAAATATGTAATTAAATGATTGCATAAATAGCAGAGTTCATTAAAATTCTTTACTAATTCATTTTCAGATTCAATAATGGCGGAATACAAAAACTCAATGGAATATTCATATGAAATTGTTGTTGAAGTAGACGTTGATGACTTTCATTGTTCTGAAACCAGTGTTTCTATCCCA